AGATAATATTTTTCAAAATAAATTATTTACAAGGTTTTAAGGATGTTTATTCAAACAATCATTAAACTAACATTAAATCCCTTGTCAATTTCATTTGTGATATTAATACTCTAGCTTCAGTTTAGGGCTGTTTCCAAGACCGAACGAAAAGGGACAAACAATCGGCGCACAGTTTGTTTGAACTGGAAATTGTATGAATTCACAAGAAATATTATTGGACATAAAAAAGAACCGCTAATTTTTTTATAATTTCACTTTATAATTATACTTTAAATTTTTCTAGTCAGAGAGAGAGAGAGAGAAAGAGAGGACTTGTACTGCCGTCACCTCACTATTTACTATCCAAAACTTCGTATTTTTCTCTCTTTGTTTCTCTTTTTTATAATTTTAAATATTGTTTAAATCCAATTGCCAGTGGATGCAATAAAGTTATTATTATTATTATTATTATATTTCCCCGTGTCGGACCATTAAATTCTCTTTTTGCAACCATTTGGCGCATTAATGGAGTTGGGGCCAAGTGTTAACTCGGGAATCTCTTTTCGCGCCAACCTAATTCTCAGAAATTATCACTTTCGGAGCTCTGCTAAAAAGCATAGACGCGCTGCTCTCCACAGCTTGCATCCGCGCGAATGAATTCCACCTCGCGGATAACGCTTGTTCCCGAAACAATTTACTTCCGCGACCGTAATTACTTTGTCCTTTGGAACATGCAAAGGTTTCGATTCATACCCCCAATACGTTCTCGCATGGATTTTAATAATCGCTTCGCTTTTTTCCCCCAATTCTTTTGTCGTGGGAACAGAACGACCGGAAAACACCGAATTTCCGCCGAAACTCGTTTTATCGAGTTCTCTTTCGAAGGGCTGCGATCGTTTTTCATCGCGAGCTTTATCCCGTAATTCTTCTGATTACAGAAAATGATTGGTAATAGCCAAACGTTGTGGAGCAGACTAGCAACAGGTACAAGGATTTGTACCATCCAGCATCAATACGCCGACCCATTTTCGTTTCCGAATCATCAATGGTGACTTGACAGGAAAAGTATCGATTAGTATTATTGTGTATTATCGGATTAATTAATCAAGGCAAATATATATTGTTAATAATATTTAGAGTTGTGTCATTTTCGATATGAATTATTAATTTGTTATAATTTTATAAAATCGTCATAATAAATTTATAGTTTTTTAAGAATTGTGAAATAAAAATGATATTGATTGTGTTTTAATATTTTGACGTATTGTACTATACATTATTATAATACATTACTATAATTATTAGAATTAATATACAAAAGTTGATAGCTATTATAGTCAGGATCGTCTGCAGACATATTGTTATTTTACTTAACAGGTAATTATTAGCTTATCAAATAACAGACAAAAGAATATATTCTGAAAAATATGATATTTTTGTAATTTTCGTTTTACACAACGCTTAAAAACCACTCTTTTTTAGTATAATGATTTTAATATCTTATAACAAAATTTTATAACAAATACTTATTTAAAATTTATTTAAAAATGACATACTTAACTCAAAACATATATTACCAACAGTTTATATTTATTTTGGTTAACTAAAACAACTACATTCAAGATAGAACAATTCATTCTTTATATATTTCTTTATATAATATTCTTTATACAATTCTTTATATAATTTTTTATATAATAATTCTTTAAACTTGGATCGTTAAAACAGTCTTAAGCTAAATGTTTTCTGTAGAAGTCTTTTTTTGTTTACACAAACAATACAACTCAAACTCTTTGTGTCTTCTCTTTTGTAAAAGATATTATATAATCCTTTTAAAAACTTTAAAAAGTAAGAATGATACAAACACGATTAAAGAACAAATTGTAAAGTTAAATTAGTTTACTTTTTTATGTGATTGATAGAGAAATAATTTTTATCTAACTCTTATTTATGATCATAAATAAAAAATCACATTTTCTAGCAATAACTTGTGTTAGTTTTGAAGTAAGGGAATAATATAGGGTACAAAGAAAAATTTTAATAAATTAATCTTTTCATTTAATAATTTTTTAAATATCATTAAAGAGCATAATTTTTCATTTTTGTTTCTGGTGCTAAAATAATTCCTTATAACTCCATATATACTAAAAGATTTTAACGTCAGGTAATAAACAATTCTATTAATAATCAATGGACAAATAAAGAAGATATTTGAAATTTACAGAAAGAATAATTTTACTAACATATTTAAAATTTTACTCGATATAGATCTGAAAATAATGTTGGAAACTTAGACTGATTACTAGAAATTACAAAATGTTTTGCTTTTCACTTTTTAGTTTTTAATATAATTATTTTGGTGGTCCAACAAAATTATTTTCCATTTTAAAGTTATTTGCTGTATCCAGCAAAATTTGAGATTTTTCAGCAAAATCATTTTGTCCGTGTAAGAGATATCTATTCCTTTCTACACATTTCATTCGTCTCTTATTTCATCAAATATGGTATGTTCTGAACCGAAAGTATGTTCTGGTCATAAATACGCTATCGGGAATGTTTCGAAATACTGTCGTTTGCGCTACATAACAAGTTCGATTGAAAGAGGCAATGTGGATTTCGCGCACAGACCTTTTCGTTAGATAATAAAACATCACTGCTGTGCGCGTAAATACGAAGGGAAAGCCAGAAGCACCACAACGAAGGGTACATTACGTAAATCCTAGCGTGGTCGTCGCGAAATTGAATACAACGTTATAAGAAGATGGAGTTCGAGAACAAGATGGAGAATCCTCAAGAATCAAGTGAGAGAGAGGTTGGCCTAGCGTTGGGAGATCATAATAAAGGGTTCGTAATAAAGAGGCTGTTTCTACTGTAGCAAGAGCACGGCATCGTCGGAATGTTTCATGAGAATTAGCTACAATTAATGCAATTTACCGACAGGTACGAGACTCCGAGTGGATGTCCGACGATCGTGCAAAATGGCGAAGACGATAAACTTCTAAGTAATACTACCAACTCGCTTTGTGCAAGTGATAACTCGAGGTGCACCTTACTTTATGATTATTGTGAAATCTCGGCAGTACACCTCGCACTTCGAGGGAAATAGTGATTTAACATTGTTATTTTGGATAATTGCTTTGAATTCGCATTGCAATTGTTTTGTTAACAGGGAGTAGTCATATCACTTTTTTTACGTAAACAATCACCTCGGATTTTTTTTTCATTCCAATTAAAATCATTATTGCTAACAACATATTATTTTTGAATATATATTGTTTAATCACAATTTTCTAAAGAAAGTAAATATAGAAACCAAACAAATATCGAACGGAATAAGTACGTTAAATAATTTATTGTGATAGTATTTTTAATAAATAAAGATTTTAGTATTAATATAGCGTTTTTATTGAAAATTTGAGAATTGCAGATTTAAAGATTCATAAAAAATAGTTATTAAAATAAAAATATGTTAAACGATATTTATTTAAAGTAATATTATATAACAATCCACATTTTTACATAATTGGTATGTATAAAAACACCCAAAGTGATTATTTCCGGGTTAAAGACACTGCATCACATTGGCATTTACGAATAAAATTAAGGTAAATTTGCGAGGTAAAGTCATACGCAGCATTGCATAAATTTACATGCATTATCATATAACAATTACAATAATAACATAATATAATATAATATGACATAATATAATATCATAATAACTAATATAATACATTGATTGATAAAATTTTCAATTTTTCCTTTAATTTCTATTTCTATACGTTTCCTATTTCACACATTTGTGAACACTGCTAGTCAATCGGTATTTCCTTTTTTTTCATCGGTTATTATATTACCCACGTAATCTATTCAGCGGCACGTGGCACGTGAAATGGGGTTTTTCAAAATGTGCGGATTGGAAAAACAAAAGGCGTGATATCGTGCGATATCACGTCTGCTAGCGGTCAATACCACTCGTTTCGATAAAATGCAGCGTTTAAATCTTCATCGAACCATTCAAATGTCAAATACAATTACGTGTTACATATTAGCCTAATTTCTCTCCATATTAATTGGATAAATCCAATGATAAACACTAAATTCAAAATAAACATTATATTGCATATTATTAAATTGTAACGTTCTGATTTCAACTGACCTATTTGAAATAATAAATACGGATAAATATCTATTAATTTAATTTCTTTCCTTTGATCATACATAGATAAATATAATGGTCATTACCTCAAATATAGCGTTTTTATTTTATATAAAAATTATTATTACACTGAAAATTGTCTAAATCTAGGTAATTTTTTTCATAAATAGTTCTAAGTAAATGAATAGTTCTAAATAAACATTTTTTTACTGTAAGTAAGTAGTTATTACTGTAAGTAAGTAGTTACTACACATAAACATATATTACTTGTAACAAATAATATAAGTTCACATTTAGTATTATGTGCGGATAATATTTATTTGCAGTAAAGAAATATTTACTTGAAAATTTAAGAAAAAAATTACTTAGATTTAGAAAAAAATCTTTTCTTTAGTGTAGTAATAATATATTTACTTAAAAATGGAATATCATTTTCTTACTTCAAAAGTACACAACTAAAAAAAATGTGTGTGACTTTTAAGTTATTATAAGTTAAGTAAACATACTTTATCAATTGTCAACAATAAATTTAACTTTATAAAAAATTATCAAAATCATCACAATTCAAAGGAGTAATTTTTTAAAAGTTGTGAAACAAAAGTAACAAAAATAATTTTTGATCATGTTAAGAATGTACGTATATTCTTTTTTTGTCAATATTACTTGACTAGTAAAAAATTTTCTGCCAAGTTGAAAAATAGTTGTTCGTCCTTCCTGGGAAACTTAATTTTTTGAGTGTCACTTTTGAAGTATAGAAACGATATGAGCTTTCCAAGTGTCGAATACAAACGGAAAAACATTGCAATCGAAACTCGTTCTAACTTTACTGTAGCCTAAGATGGATAATAGAGCTGCCGCTCACCGTCAATGTCGATTTCCTGCAGCATCGTTCTCAGCTCCTCCGCTCTTGCAAATTGTCCCAAGGAACGCATAACCCTGCCGAGTTCTTCTTTCGTGATAGTTCCATCGCCGTCTTTGTCAAACAATCTGAAGGCCTCCCTGAATTCTGTTGAGGAAAAGGAAAAGAAGAAATCCAGCGTGAGTAGCTCTAATATAATACAAATACGTTTCGCTTTCCGTACTGGAAATAAGTAAAATTACTTCGACTTTCTCAGTCTCTGGGAAAATTGTACGGTGTTAATTGTTTCACCGTTTACTCTCATTTACGATTCAATTTTAGAGCAATTTTTTCTAATCTTCTACATTAATTAGATTGGGCATAGTGCGCTTTGAATTTTTCACTTTAGCTGAGTATCCTGACCCGTTATGGCACTAATGTCAAGCGTCCTCTCTAGAATTGCCCCTTCAGAGATGGTCACCGACGGAGCCGGTTAACTGACTAAAGGTATAGTGGTCGAATTCCCGGAGCGAATTTGACGAGGTACAAGTACAAGCCGGTGCGGGTTCGGTTCGACGGTGCTTGACTCGATCGTTTAATGGCCTCGTTTCTCGCGCCGTTGATTCTGGCGGCGCATTATATGCGTATTCATGCACAATTGCTCGTACGAGGAAACTACGAGTCTCGAGGTAATCGCGATCACGTCTTACAGTCGTCTTATTTACGATCTCAGATGCATATCGTGCGAAACGAAGTTATATATTATGTTAAATTGCAGATGCGGTTTCAGTGATCGCGTTAGGCACAGAAATCAACCGAGGCAGGTGGATTGAGACGGGAAGTCGAGAACAATTCTTCTTCTTTATCTACAGATTTTCGCCTCATCAGAAATGGTACCGCTCCCGTTATCTCTGATTCTTTTATCCAATTTCGATTCCCATAGAACTTCCAAAAAAAGCTGCTATACAGGCAATAATATTTCGCACAGTGTTATTGAATCAATTTTTTTAAATTGACTACACAATAATTACTGTGATTCTTTTTTGAAGAATTTTAGCTGAACCGCGTGAAAAAGAAACTTGAGACGAGAGATGAGTTTTACCTGAGTTTCTAATAGCAACTGTAAATATCAAATCACAATTATAGATATCATATGGCCTTCACCTATTTGTTGAATCATATCACGTTTCAAAATGAGCAAGAATGCGAGCATTAGAATCGCATTACTGTAATTGACTTTGCTAATATAATGTGGATTAAAATTTAACGTCAATCATACTTCCATATTAGAGATTCCATTAAATAAATAATTTAAAACAGCATTTTTTAAAAATATTAAAATAAATTACAAAAATAATTGTAATAACATAGAAAAATCTTGATTTTAATTTATAAGAATGAATGCAAAGGAAGTAATCTTTAATTAATTTTTATATAATCCATTTTATGTATTATATAAAATTTAGTGATAGCATGTGTTCTTTCTCCTTTTCTCTGTTCTGAATCTATTTATAGTGTCAATTGGCAAAGCGGATAATAGTATAATGGTACGATAGCTGCTTTAAGAGAAACTCTTTTATACGAAGGCGATAAAGACGTAACGATTTTCCAAAAGAAATTACATTCATCGAAGTATACAAATTAAGATACGTGACTTTTGTAGATATTTTCGACGAACACAATCTTAGAAGAAGAAACTCAGTAGAAAAGAAAACAAAGAACCAGTTAAAAAACAAATTTTTTTATGATAAAGTAAAGAACGAGATTTAATCTGTGTTAATTTAATGTCATTATTTAATTTTATTCTTGTAAATTTTGAGATCGTACTTTCAAAGAAGTTTCATGGAATAATATTTAACTAAAGGATAATCGATCGCGCAGTATATAAAGTTACACCGTTTATAACAAAGTTAAATACACAATCTTTGTTTATAGTTAGACGAGTTTGATGAAAATTAAAATACATTTAAAAGCTAACTGATAAGTGCCTGTTTTGAGCTATATTATATTAAAAATATTGATAAGCACCTTCATCGTTGTTGTCTTGAAAGGAAGAACTTCATTCAGAACTCGCGACTAATATATAATGACATTTTACGTGTAATAAAAATTATCAAGAGATTGGTTATTCAGTTTTGTCGATAAATATGTGAAATCTGAATTAATGTCATTTCGCGAACAAAACTCATGTCGCGAAGTAGAAAAAAATATGAAATGGAAGAGAAAATTGTCTATTTGCATTTTCACATTGAGTTCTCTTAAAAAGAAATTGAAAGAGCATTTATTCTTTGATTAATCGGTTTTCCAGATTGGTTTCGAAGATCTCCCATAGAACATTTACGTATGGCTTAGCGAGAATAATAATTAAATGCAAAAAAGTAGAAACGATGAGCACCACGAAATGTGAAACGATATTACAAGCATTACAATGCAATTTGTTTGACGTCGATTGAAGAGATCTCTATTCATTCGACCTGATGTGAGTGGAAATGTAATATTCAATAGCGATATTTATAAAACCAGAAAGAAAAACAAGTGCATGATGGACGGCGCGTGCGAAAATAAAAAAAAAAACGTTCGACGTCTACATGACACCGTGTACGCAAAACGTGAAATTATTTATCTCGCATGCGGATTTGATCGATCAATTGGCCTGATTCCCGATTCTCGAACGTGCACTTGTCGTGTACGACGGCGATAACGGCGGGGAAAAATAATGGCTGGTTGCGCAAAACTGTGAATGAAGTTCACATACGCCGCGGTGCGGCGGAATAGCGAGCATAGTTTTATCGGGATTAACGAAGCGATGACACCAAACAAGAGATATCCCGTTTACCGGGCGTGCCAAATTGAATCCGGCGCCGTGGGCATCTCCATCATCCGGCATCTGATGCCGTGATCAAAAGAGTACAAATTTGCATTTTGCCATGCGAAGCCTGATATCATTATATGATACGAGGTGATAAATACAGGAGAAAATCATTTTTGTTCGCACGTAAATTAAATTATTATCTTAATCATATTGTTTTAATTATTAATCTATTACGTTCATATTTCACTGAAATGTCGTGGTTGCATGAGTATTTATCCGAAAAAGCCTTATATATTCTCTGATATATTAAAATTAATATTTTTTAAGAAAAAATATTGAGAGATATTTTTTTATTATATAATAAGATTTTTTATATTTATGGCGTTATATAATTATTATTACATTTTATTTTAAAGGATCTTTTGGAATTTTTGCACATCATGGAAAAAGACACTTTCAGTAAAATTAAATAAATTTTTTTATTAATAAATAAAAGTATTCGTCGACATGTTTTTGATTAGTTATAAATGAATCCTAGATTCATTTATAACTAATCAAAAACATATTTGCACGTTCTTTAATTGGATACCAGATGAATTTAGGAACTAACAATAAGTTCATTAATCCATGAAATTTATTAATTATCTTTAGTCCGCAATTAACAATAAGCATTTTATTGAAAGCATTTTTCGTGCATAATGATCCTATAATTCCTTCATAGGATAGAATAGATAATAGGGTAGAATAGATTATTCCTGTGGATAGAATTAATTATGCGAGAAAAGTTACCTGTCTCGCTCGGAACGAATGAAGACTGTGATGGGTAAGCTTGATATTTCACATGTCGCGCGACAAGTTTTTCTGGGGCGTGCCAATTGGCTATCAGATGGAGACTTTCTGGAGCCCCCGAAAAACTTGTTCTCTCAATAGGTCAATCGGCCAAAAAACTTGCTGTACGACGAATGAAATATTAGCCTAAAGCCCAGATGAGATTCGTAGCGCGTAGTTTGGATCACGTTAGAAAAAGAGAGAAAGAGAAAAGCTTCTCCGCTGAGAGAAAAGTGTTTCATATTTTTATGACTATATTTGCATAATAAAATAATTATGGTTAAGCGCTCCATTTTTATAATTATTATGACATAATGTTAGTAATAATAATTATACATATTTCTAATTATATGTACTAAAAAATATATAGTAGTTCGTACTGAAAATGACTCTAAATTATAGTACCAACCATATATTTTTTCGTATATATAGAATTATAAATATAAAATTTTGAAAAATATATATATATATATATTCATTGATATTAAATTGCTTGTCAATTTGTGATATTACGTATTCCAGTTTCAACCTAAGAACGTGTTTCAAGATCGACAAATAATTAACAATTTACTTAAAATAGAAATTTACACAAAAATATTATACTATTAGACATTGCTCTATTAAAGTCGTTTCGACCAAATAATATTATTTGAGTTGAATAAATAAAAATTATTATTATTAACATATTGTATTGTTATATAAGAATATAGTAACAGTAATAATCATAAAAATGAAGCTCCTAACCATAATTATTTTACCAGGCAACCATAATCATAAATATAAAACACTTTTCTCAATGTGAATTTTTGTATTTTATCTTTCCTTATTCTCTCTCTCTCTCTCTCTCTCTCTCTCTCTCTCTCTCTCTCTCTCTTTTTTTTTCTTTGTAACGCAACCTGTAACGCAATCGGACTAAAAAAAAAACACTTTTCTTGAAAAATCTCGACTTACCTTTCATCTGCGATTTCGATATGGCGGGCGTCTTACTGGACGAAGAGTAGCTTGCCGACGTTCGTTTCGGCGAAGCTGGCAAGGACAGGAGAACGTTCGTGGAGAGCGGAGTTCTGACAGGCTCATCGAGGATGGACGACGAGGACGCGGCCGTGTCCGTCGGCCGCGTCAGGGATAATTCTTGCGGTTCCTGCTGCAGTTGCCATAGTCGCCGGTGTTGCAGATTCGTTGGGACATCGGCGGCGGAGCACGATCCCGCGGAAACGTAGATCGGTTGCATCGGTAGCGCAGACGTTGTCACGGCCATCGTCATCGACGTCCGCGAGGTGCAATCCAAAGGGCTGGTGCCCTCACACCCCTCCGAACCGTTTCCCACCGCGCCGCTGCTCTGTCTCGTCTGCAAGTAATCGCGGCCTGAAATGCATCTCTCGCTCGTCCCGAGAAGTTTGATCCGATCGATACGAATTATTTAGATGTTTATTTATTGTGCAGCTTTTTTTCCGAACAAAAGCAATGAAATGCGTTTAAGATCGATTCGTCACATGCGAAGTGTTGTATCCTAAAAACGTTTTTAGTATGAAGAAAATATACGTTCTCCTCAACATAACCGAGTTATATACTGTATATATTATGGTCAAAATGTTAACTTTGTAAACTAGTAAGGTATACATCTACTGTAGTTTGCTGTAGCCAATGTATATATTTACTATACACTGACTAGTAAATGTATACATTTACTAAAGTTAACACTTACTGTGACATGTATATACATTAAAAAAAAGAAATGTTTGGCATTTGTAATTATATTATAATTTAACTTTTAGTATTTATAACTTTAATTACATATCTGCATGTAACCATAATAACTATGTGATTATTATTGTCATAATTTTGATAATATAATAAACTATACATATAATTGTTATTAATAACATTTAAAAAAATACCAATAATTATGGTAACAAAATTATATGTATAATTACAAATATTAAAAATATATATTTTTCTCTTAGAGTATATGAGCCTCTCAGGAGAAGATTGATGTCTATAAAAGTCTATGAAAGTCTATAAAAGAAGAACTAGAAAGAATTAATAGTTATGTACTGATCACGTTCTCTAGTACTAAAATTAAAAAGCTCACAAGAGAGTGGAGTTGATCAGTTTGGCTTCTAAGAGATCCACATATCAAGAAAAGTTAGAGGGACACGAGAGATTTTACTTTTGCAAAAGTACTCTTAACTTTTTACCTAGCTCGCGTGATTTTTCCAGCTAGCTTTTCTAAGTCTCTGTTTTTTCAGCAAACATCCCTCTGCTCACGATACATTATCTTATACCAACATTTGACAAGCTTGATATAAAACTTTACGTAGCTGCGAGGCTTTAAAAAGGACATTACGAGAACGTTTTCAGAGAGACGTTTAGAGGGCTTATTTTTTACATGCATGGTTCTCTTGCGCTTTTCTTCTTTATAAGATCTTTTTTAGAGTCGACTGTTATAATCGTTAACTTATAAATGTGTCGTTGAGCGACAGGCGAATTGCTCAAAGTAAAAGTACCTCAATATTTGATCTACTCGTGTCAGACGCCGTTAGGCACGAAATGTGAAACTTCTAAAAGCAGTGACACACACCCGACAATATCCAGCTGAGCTCATTCCGTCGTTTCAGTGTCAAGCCTTATCAATTATTAAAATCTACTCGCACATAAAGTGTCAGCGTGCGGGAGAGACGCGATTATAATTTTAAGAACGTGCTAATATTATTTGCTGAAATATTTTTATATTTATATTTTGATAAAACGAGAAAACGCAAAGAGAAAGAAGGAAAGAAAATAGAGATTTGTTAATTCTATCCCATTCGAGTGGTCCTTTTTAATGTAATTACTGTGCGTATACGCACACATGAACTGGTTTCTGACATTTCATCAACGTTATATCTCAATTTTTATTATTCTCTTCGATAATTCATAATAAAATAAAGGTTGATAATACTCTCCATATATCCTTTAAATAAAAATTAAAAAAAAATGTTTTAAATGTGAAATAATTTGTGAAATGTAATAGTATATACATGGAAAAATGTTACTAAAATATTAAAAAATTTAGTTAGATACAGATTTGGAAATTTTGTTTGGAGCATAAAAACAATTATGTAAGTTGCTAAAACTAGTTGGCAGTGTGTTAAAACATTTTACGGCATTTTCATCTACATAATTATTTTGATGGTCCAACAAAACCATTTTCAAATCTGTGTATAGCTAAATTTTTAAATATTTAAGCAAAAAACTTTTTTCTCTGTATAAATAGTTTCATACATTTAATGAATTTGTAAGATTTTTTCAAGAGAAACATTTTTGATATTTATTACCATTATTACATATTAGAATAATTATGATTATTACGTTATAATGTATAATACATATAATATGTACAATATACATATATCTATAATATGTTAATAATTATACCTATATAAGTCTAATTATTTTTTTAAGAAAAAATGTATTGAGGTAACTAAAAATGACTATAATTATAATTTTTATTAACACAAGAATAGGTTACAATAATTTAACTTATAATTCATATTTTTTGGGACAACCATAATATGATCAACTATACATAAATTAAAAAATAATTAAATGATAGCAATTGCAACTATTTTATGATAAAAATAATATATATACATTTGTTGATAGAGAGAATTATATACATTATACATATATGTATATTTATTATCTGTACTATTAAAATTACAGCAATACTTATGCAATTGTAACATATATAATCATCAGATTATGGCTACAGACTATATAGTCAATTATAGTCATAAATACCTAAAACTTTTCTCTCAGTGGCAGGATACTCTACGCGAGTATAATGAAGGGTTAATGAGACAAGCTTGTCGAGCGGCCCGTCTCCTCGACACTTCGGATCTCTACGCTGAGATCCGCGATCTATCAGTTCGAGCTGCGTTCATCCCGCGAATAAGAGTGCAAGTCGATTCGGATGGAGAGGCCGTGCTTCATTATCGCAAAAGTTCGCGAGACGTTGACGAGTGATTAACCGCGCCCCCGAAAGAATGTAGTAGCGCATCCATCATTTAAATGAGAGAGCATCGTAAGCGCGGTGTCACTTGGCGGCTCGATATGACGGGTGAAAACGCACAGACGTCATTTCCCGTTTTATTTACCTCTATACCGAGGAAAGAGCGGAGGGATGAGATCTGGCAATAACCCGTCCGCGAAACTACGGCGGCCCATTGAATCGCTGCACACCAATCGTCGGAATTGCGATACTAGTTTGCGACCCGAGTAAGAAGTACCTCAATCCCAAGCGAAAGCGACGGAATAGCTGTTGAAAGCACGCAGCGTGAGCTTTAGTCGGCAATGAACATCGTTATCGGGACGTCGAAACGATAAACTCCGCGCGGGGTGTTAAATTATACAACTTGGACTCATCTCAATAGCGAGGGAAAATCACCTCCTCGATTACGTCGTTCGTTGACGGACACATCCGTTCGCGTAACCAGAATCGTCGATAAGATTTATGTAGTGAGAGAGAATGAAAGATAATTAAGACCCGTTCTCGAAGTTTATAATTGAGAACGAGCACGCGCGACAAATTGGGAGGCAAATAGCGAACTTAACGCGCACCTCGTCTTATTTCTCGCCTTATCTCCTCTCCGACGCCTCTGGCAGATCTCGGCAAAGCTACACCCCGGCCGAGTGAAACACGTCGTTCGCAATACGAGAATTCGCGTAGACGCGCGGTATCACCGGAGAACACATTTGCATTCCCAAGAAGTCGTTTCTAAGGTCAAAATGCATTTAGGTTCTTTTGGTTGAGGAACGTCGAGATTGGTGCGACGTACCGAGACAGACGTCTGACTGTCTTCCCTTAACTGGAGTCGCGAAGGGATGGAGAAGAGAAACTTCCAACGGCAGCGACGACTGTTCGACGAAGCGAATCAGATTCGAGGGCGCCGCGAACGTTGCGCGCTACCTACTTAATCAAATTCCGAGAGAGTTCCTCAGATAGCGAGAGAAAGATAGAGAAAGAGAGGAAGGAATGCCACCGACCGCGGGGGTGGATTACGGCGGTTGTGCGCCACAGGCGAAAGTTTCGGCGCTGAAACCGCGCGAGAGAGAAAGTTTTCCCGGACGTCCGGTAATAAAAGCTCGGATGAAGAAGAAACTTCCCCGGAAGTTCCCGGCTCCTTTCCACGTTTTTCTCCGAGCACGACACGGCATGAGCGGTGACAAAATTGAATCCTCGTTAAAGCGTCGTCACGTTTCGTCGATCGACATCGACACTTTCGTGTCGTCCAGCAGCCCTTCCCTCCTCCTTTCTCTTCTTCTTGCCAATTTAAATTACATTTCATTACAAACCTTTGTAACTGCGATAGTAGGGTATCGGGCATTTATTTGCCCCATGGAGAAACGGGAAACTTTGTGTTAGTTGCGAAACCCCGGAAATGACTCAAAAGAAAACAGGGGTGGCACCTATGTAGGTGATAATTATAGAAATTTTATATTATGTAGAATCAATATATATAGTTGAATAAATTATTTTACGGTTATATAATAAGTACAAAAAATTACCTATTTAATGTAGTTAGTTGAAAATAAACTTATTTTATGCAACACACAACTGTAAAATAATTTATTTTTAGCTAACTATATAATTAAACGAATTATTTATAATAAAATAATAAAATAGTTGCTGCAACTGAAAAATGTTTACTATAACTGCTTTATAGTTACAATAACTATTATAGTTACAGCAACATATTTTATAAAGCTGTAAAATAGTTGCAATAACTAAAATAATTTATTCAATTATACGAAAATCAACAAGTAAACTAAATATATCAACTATTTTGATATTTTTAAAAATAAAATTATTATATATATTATAAGATTAATTATTATATTTATTTCGTACATTAAAATATTAAATAAAAATTCGTATGTGTACAAAGCAAACTTATTCTGTTTTCGTTATACGTAATTTAATGATGCATATTTAACTGTAAAAATATTATTAAAAAGATTTATGATGAGCAAATTATTACAAACATGCGCTAATATTTTTTTTATTCTGCATCTTCTCGCAAAAATATGTTACTGTACAAAAGATATTAATATCTTTCATTTCTAGCTCGTTTCTTGACCATTTAATCTTCTCACTTTGTCTTCATTAATTCTACATAATATTATAGAAGATGTTGAGAATAATTTAAAATGTAATTTTTATTATATGCAAAAATATAGATGATCATAATTTATTTTGAATATATTTACATGATTATGTAGCAAACAAAATCTTTCACCTAAGAGGCTCATCTCACGCTATTATAATCAAGAATCGACTCTTCAACAATTAAATATTTTTATTTG